AGCACGTCAGCTGTCTTAACCGCGGCTTGTGTACTGCATCATCACTGTGTCTGTCACGCGACTCTGTTGCCCTTTCAGGCTTGAACTGATGGTAAAACTAACGACATTATTAACTGTCTTGATATTTACTTTGAAAGCTTGAAGCTTGCGATTATGGTAAGGGGCGTTACATTTCCGACGCGCGCTTGTGGTGTTCGGCCAATCACAATGCACTGGATCAGCTGGCCAATCAGAGCAGACTGCGCTTGTCAAAGGAGGGGGTTTTGTTGAAAACGACGTATTTGAGAGAGGCAGGGCAAAGGGGACCTACAATAATGTACAGTATTTGAAAAATAATGTTTTTTTTTAATATTAAAGCATGTCAACATATTCTGTTACACCAAATAATGATCTTTAAAATAGCATCATATGAAAAAAAATCATTGAAGTCAAGTTTATGTACATATATGCCAGGGGTGGCGAACGTCGGTCCTGGAGAGCCGCAGCCCTGCAGAGTTTTGCTTCAACCCTAATCAAACACACCTGAACAAGCTAATCAAGGCCTGAAGGGTTACTAGGAAGCTTCAGGCAGGTGCGTTTTTATCAGGGTTAGAGCTGAACTCTGCAGGACTGCGGCTCTCCAGGACCGGAGTTCGCCACCCCTGATATATGCGATTGAATCAAGTACCAAGAAACTGCCAATGCAAAGTCCTTGCTTTGTGCTGGGTATGTGCTGGTTCCTCTTTCAATTTCTATGAAATGCCTCTCTCAATCTCTCTGATTACAGATACAGTCATGACTCCCTCAGTGCGTTTACAGGAAATGATCCGGGTCATCCGAAGTGCCCGGACGCAAGGTGAGGAGAGGGGCATCATCCAAAAAGAGTGTGCGGATATCCGAGCACAGTTTCGCCAGGGTGACAATGGGGAGCGTTCGCACAGCCTGGCAAAACTACTCTACGTGCACATGCTGGGCTACCCTGCGCACTTCGGCCAGGTAACTGTCAACATGTGTGTGCGATAGCACCGATGGATAATGAGATTTTACATCTCTGATTATGGATACATCACATCATACCACCTCATTTATTTCTTGTCTGTGCATCCTTCTCTTTCTGTACTCATATTATGTTTTTTGATTGTCTTTTCACCTGTTATATATCTTTATATGATGATAACTTTAGTATTGACTCCTGCAGATGGAGTGTGTACGTCTGATTGCCAGCCCCAGGTACAGCGAGAAGCGGATTGGTTACCTGGGAGCCATGATGCTCCTAGATGAGAAACAGGATGCTAGTTTACTGATTACCAACTCAATCAAGAAGTAAATACTTTAAATA